TAAGATGTTCAAAATCACTTGTCTAAGAGTTTCGCTGAATTCTCAAGGTTCCTGCGAGTAAATATTTCAAGAAATTTCAGATCTGTATGCACGAGAAAGCTTCCAGCAACGAAAACCGCCATCAATGGCTGGTTCAGTTGAAAAAAGTTGGTTAATTGTTTTAGGATATTGGTATAGTAGTAAAATCTCAACTTTTCATATAATTTCCAACTTGCTTTGTCAAGGATTTACTTAACCCATGGACAACCTTGTTACCCATGGATGGGTTCACACTTTCGTACTTTGAGGGCGCGTTGGTCCCATGCACCAGACAAGTAGATAATGCACTGTCGCCAAAGAGTTAATGAGTTTTAGAATACAGTAGCGATCTAGATACTATAAACCTCCGAAAAATCTGAGAATCTTTGTAGAATGATTTGCCCAGAGAGTTTCCTTTGATCTACCACCTACCTACCTACTCCTATCTATTTTCAAAGTTCATACTTCTTTTGGCAATTATTGGACTGTTGTGACAAATGAAGGGCGATCTGGAAAATTCCAAGAATCTTAAGGACTGCCCAGAAATAGAAGTAGAGATTTTCTAGCGAGAATGATAATTAGAATAAATTTAACTGCAGTATTATAATTTATAATGAGAATGACTGATTACAGAGAAAAAAATATGTTTCGACAGCCTAGAACTGATGCTTATAGAAATAAATGAAGACTGATTTAAAAAACTTACGACCACGATCAAGCGTAGGTTGTGACATCAAAGAAGAATGAAAGGATAGAGTGGGACTAAAGAAGTGTTCTCTTCAAGCACAACTGCAGAGAAGTGAAATACAGCGATGTCAATAAGAAATCAAATGGTTCCTAGAAATTAATTGAATTTGATTGTTGGAGGTAGAAAGTGTTAAGTTTATAGCTTATATCTGATACCATTATCAATGCTGCACTGTTGATAGCGCTTCCAATAAATAAGTCAAACTATAAAAGTAAAAAGTCGTTTTTCCATAAACAACTTAAGGATGTCAACATAAATTTCTCAGAAGCCCTCTCGATCTTTATTTACCAAGTATTTCTGCTTCTGATTTCCTGCGAAA